ATACAGTTTCCATAGTGATTTGAACCAAATCTACTTGTTAATTCCAGTATCTAGTGGATGATTCCAGTATGTAGTGGTTGATTCCAGTATCTAGGGCGTCATTCTAATATCAAGTGAAGGAATTCAGTTTCTGGCTTTTTCTAAGTAGCATCCGTAATGATTAGTTTTAGTATGCAAATGTTAGTTTATTCCTTTTGGGTTGGAATCCTTTCGGGTTGGGTTGATTTTGGTTTAGGTTGGAAATACAGTTTCTATAGTGGTTACAATTAAATCTAGTTGTTGATACAAGTATCTAATTGCTGATTTCAATATTCTGTTGGTGGATACAATATTCATAGTGATTCGTTTCAATATCCAGAAATTAAATACAGTTTCTATAGTGATTAGAACCAAATCTACTTGTTAATTCCAGTATCTATGGCGTCATTCTAAGGAATTCAGTTTCTGGCTTTTTGTATGTAGCATCCATAATGATTAGTTTTGGTACACAAACGTTAGTTATTCTTTTTGGGCTGGAATCCTTTCGGGTTGGGTTGATTTTGGCTTAGGTTGCAAATACAGTTTCTATAGTGGTTACAACTAAATTTAGTTGTTAATTCCAGTATCTAATTGCTGATTTCAATATTCTGTTTTTATATACAATATTTATAGTGATTCGTTTCAATATCCAGAAATTACATACAGTTTACATAGTGATTAGAACCAAATCTACTTGTTAATTCCAATATCCAGTGAATGATTCCGGTATGTAGTGGTTGATTCCAGTATCTAGGGGGTGATTCTAATATCAAGTGAAATATTCCAGTTTCTGGCTTTTTCTAAGTAGCATCCGTAATGATTAGTTTTAGTATGCGAATGTTAGTTATTCCTTTTGGGTTGGGTTGATTTTGGCTTAGGTTGCAAATACAGTTTCTATAGTGGTTACAACTAAATTTGGTTGTTAATTCCAGTATCTAATTGCTGATTTCAATATTCTCTTGGTGGATACAATATTCATAGTGATTCGTTTCAATATCCAGAAATTAAATACAGTTTTTATAGTGATTAGAACCAAATCTACTTGTTAATTCCAATATCCAGTTAATGATTCCAGTATGTAATGGTTGATTCCAGTATCTAGGAGGTGATTCTAATATCAAGTGAAAGATTCCAGTTTCTGGCCTTTTCTAAGTAGCATCCGTAATGATTAGTTTTAGTATGGAAATGTTAGTTATTCCTTTTGGGTTGGAATCCTTTCGGGTTGGGTTGATTTTGGTTTAGGTTGGAAATACAGTTTCTATAGTGGTTACAATTAAATCTAGTTGTTGATACCAGTATCTAATTGCTGATTTCAATATTCTGTTGGTGCATACAATATTTATAGTGATTCGTTTCAATATCCAGAAATTACATACAGTTTCTATAGTGATTAGAACCAAATCTACTTGTTAATTCCAGTATCTAGTGGTTGATTCCAGTATCTAGGAGGTCATTCTAATATCAAGTAAAAGAATCCAGTTTCTGGCTTTTTGTAAGTAGCATTCGTAATGATTTGTTTTAGTATGCAAATGTTAGTTATTCCTTTTGGGTTGGATTGATTTTGGTTTAGGTTGCAAATACAGTTTCTATAGTGGTTACAATTAAATCTAGTTGTTGATACAAGTATCTAATTGCTGATTTCAATATTCTGTTGGTGGATACAATATTCATAGTGATTCGTTTCAATATCCAGAAATTAAATACAGTTTCTATAGTGATTAGAACCAAATCTACTTGTTAATTCCAGTATCTAGTGGTTGATTCCAGTATCTAGGAGGTCATTCTCATATCAAGTGAAAGATCCAGTTTCTGGCTTTTTGTATGTAACATCCGTAATGGTTAGTTTTAGTATGCGAATGTTAGTTATTACTTGTGGGTTGGGATCCTTTCGGGTTGGATTGATTTTGGTTTAGGTTGCAAATACAGTTTCTATAGTGGTTACAATTAAATCTAGTTGTTGATACAAGTATCTAATTGCTGATTTCAATATTCTGTTGGTGGATACAATATTCATAGTGATTCGTTTCAATATCCAGAAATTAAATACAGTTTCTATAGTGATTAGAACCAAATCTACTTGTTAATTCCAGTATCTAGTGGTTGATTCCAGTATCTAGGAGGTCATTCTCATATCAAGTGAAAGATCCAGTTTCTGGCTTTTTGTATGTAACATCCGTAATGGTTAGTTTTAGTATGCGAATGTTAGTTATTACTTGTGGGTTGGGATCCTTTCGGGTTGGGTTGATTTTGGCTTAGGTTGCAAATACAGTTTCTATAGTGGTTACAACTAAATTTGGTTGTTAATTCCAGTATTTAATTGCTGATTTCAGTATTCTGTTGGTGGATACAATATTTATAGTGATTCGTTTCAATGTCCAGAAATTAAATACAGTTTTTATAGTGATTAGAACCAAATCTACTTGTTAATTCCAGTATCTATGGCGTCATTCTAATATCAAGTGAAGGAATTCAGTTTCTGGCTTTTTGTATGTAGCATCCATAATGATTAGTTTTGGTACGCAAACGTTAGTTATTCTTTTTGGGCTGGAATCCTTTCGGATTGGGTTGATTTTGGTTTAGGTTGTAAATACAGTTTCTATAGTGGTTACAACTAAATTTGGTTGTTAATTCTAGTATCTAATTGCTGATTTCAATATTCTGTTGGTGGATACAATATTTATAGTGATTCGTTTCAATATTCAGAAATTACATACAGTTTCCATAGTGATTAGAACCGAATCTACTTGTTAATTCCAGTATCTAGTGGATGATTCCAGTATGTTGTGGTTGATTCCAGTATCTAGGGGGTGATTCTAATATCAAGTGAAAGATTCCAGGTTCTGGCTTTTTGTAAGTAGCATTCGTAATGATTAGTTTTAGCATGCAAATGTTAGTTATGCTTTTTGGGTTGGAATCCTTTTGGGTTGGGTTGATTTTGGCTTAAGTTGCAAGTACAGTTTCTATAGTGGTTACAACTAAATTTGGTTGTTAATTCCAGTATCTAATTGCTGATTTCAGTATTCTGTTGGTGGATACAATATTTATAGTGATTCGTTTCAGTATCCAGAAATTAAATACAGTTTTTATAGAGATTAGAACCAAATCTACTTGTTAATTCGAATATCCAGTGAATGATTCCAGTATGTAGTGGTTGATTCCAGTATCTAGGGGGTCATTCTAATATCAAGTGAAAGATTCCAGTTTCTGGTTTTTGTATGNAGTGATTAGAACCAAATCTACTTGTTAATTCTAATATCCAGTGAATGATTCCAGTATGTAGTGGTTGATTCCAGTATCTAGGGGGTCATTCTAATATCAAGTGAAAGATCCAGTTTCTGGCTTTTTATATGTAGCATCTGTAATGATTAGTTTTAGTAAGCGAATATTAGTTATTAATTTTGGGTTAGGATCGTTTCGGGTTGGGTTGATTTTGGCTTTGGTTGCAAATACAATTTCGATAGTGATTACAACTACATCTAATTGTTGATTCCAGTATCTAATTGATGATTTCAGTATCCTATTGGTATATACAATATTCTTGGTGATTCGACCATGTGACATTTTCTTTACACAGATTTTTCTCTGATATTTGGATTATTTTTGAAGCTTTTGTGAAGCATATACGAGTTGATGATAGAGACATCGAGAATTCGCAAGAATATCAAAAATTCAAATTAATATTCAGGTGTCCACTATCATCTGTTAAACAAACAATTTTTATACCATATTTGCAAGGCTTCTTAGGCATGTAAACTTTAAAGTGTGTTCTTCCTCTAAAACTCACAAGCATTTCAACAACAGTAACTGAATCACCTAATCCATAAACATTTTGTGAGTTTTCGATAAATTTCTTGAAAATTGTAGACATTGCTGGGGGATCTTCTTTTCGAAACGATGCACCTCGTTTCAGGATTATCAAATCGCAAAGTCTTTGACTCATTACGCCTCTAAATATGTCACGAACTGTTCCGTCAGTAACAAAAAGTATATCTAAAGTACATTTTCATGATTTCAATTAAAGACACCAGTATAAATTAGCTTTTAACTCTATTATACCTACATCTCTAAGGTGACTGATACTATTTTTATCTTTATATTCTGAGCGCATTTGTGAAAGTTTATTGTTTGTCTATTCAATGATTTCATTTAAAATATCTGCTGAAAAGAATATCTTCTCTCATACAGAAGTTGCATTCGCACTGTTATCAAGTTTATGAGTTTTTCCTTTCAGTTGTGGCACCAGTACACCAACCAAAACCGCTTTTCTTATAAAAGTACTTTCAAAAAGTACTTTTATAAGTTTCTTTCTATCATTATCGCAGTTATTTTCAGAAAACCTCCTCTGATGTACCGCCAATATCACTATACCATTTTAGACATCTAACAAACTACGCAGAACTGTGTTTATCTAGTAGTTTACATGCAAGTGACGATATAGTGATGTGAATTGGCTTAGTGGTGGTGCACCAATAGAAGAAAAATCTTTCTTGACTGTTTTGAGGTCGCGTGACTGCTTTGTGAGCGGTATTTTCCAAAAAATAATATAATATCTAATAGTTGGTTAAGGGTTAAATAGAGTTTCCATAGTGATTAGAACTAGGTCTACTTGTTAATTCCAGTATCCAGTGTGTATTTCAGTATGTAGTGGTTGAATCCAGTAACTAGTGCATGATTATACTTATCTACTGAAAGATTCCAGTTTCTGGCTTTATCCATTTGTTGAATATATTAAGGTAATAAAGGACATGCAAACAAAAACAACATTATTGGAGAAACCGGTTGATAGATCTCGATTTTCAACAATATTTTCATAGTTAAACAATATCATAGTATGCTAAGATTTCCTACTCTTGCTATATTCCCAAAAATGTTATCTTCCTAAAGGCATCATATTGAAAATTTTCGAACCAATTTTAATAAATTATTTATTAAAAAGCTTTTTGTTATTAGTAAAGTTTTAGTTGGATATTTATTTTTTTTAGGTGGAAGTTTAAGAGGACAAACCGTCATAAACAAGAAAAAAATTAGTAAGTAAATGAAATAAAATAAAATAAAACGTACATCAACACGCACGAATTATTTATAGCACACAAACAATTTTCCGCAAAAATAAAGAAATTTATTTCAAACCCATTTCATATATGAACTCTATACGTAAAATTATTACTCGTTTATGAATTTTTGATGACGTTGATCAAAGTGGATGCGGTTTTGATATCTGGAGGCGGTACGAATGCATAAGTAATGAAACACACTCAACTGACACCCGTTTTGTAAATTATCAAAATAAAAACAAACCGTTCTTAAAATTGTGTTTGTACAAGTTTATTTTAAATCAACAAAAACCGACGATACATTTAATAAATATAATTCATTAAAAATAAATTTTAACCGTTTTAAACGTAGATAATAAAAATATTCACGTCATTTCCGGATTTGAGACCAAAAAAAAAAAGGGAGCAAAAATCCGTTCAATTCACATTTCGTCCGAAAATCCTGCGTTAAAAATGCTCAAAAAGCGCTTTTAAAAACTATGAATGAGCTTTATTCTATTCTTTAAATTAAACGATCAAAAAATTTTAAAAATGAAATACTCAAAGGCTTCAAAAACAATTTTAGTTCACTTCACGTTTAATAATAATTAATTACAATTTTAATGCACACAAATTCGGAAAGTTATCGACACTGTTGCGTTCAGTCTTCATACCGGGAATTTCATATAACTCGCAATATAAATGCAGTAACCATAGTTACGAAACTAGTACTGTCCCACATAAAATGTAGCATAGCTTGATAGTATAGGCATTGGGTGAATGTTTCTAGTTCTAGGTCTAGTGCTAGTTCTATTTTTCGGTCGATAAAAATATACCATAATCTAACGCTGAATAACAATTAAAACTGGAACTAATACGAGACCTAGATCTAGAAATATTCGAATTTAGCCGCACTTCTCTCTAGATGGGTAAAGCAGAATGATTCTAGATTTAGGTCTTGTGTTAGTGCTGGTGATAGTGCTAGTGCAAAACTAGAACTAATACTAGACCTAGAACTAGAAACATTTGTGTCATTATTAAGAAATGAATAAAGATTCAAGCAATTTTTTGATATATTAATGAGTTTAGAAACAAAATATTCTTAAAGATAATATTGAAAAATTCCAAATTAAAAAAATCCGTTTTGTTGGGGTTAAGTTCAAAAATTAATATCTTCTTTATATTTAGAATCGAAGAAACGAAACTTAGTGGTTTTATTTAGAATAGAGTAACGATTTTAATGCTTCAAACCATTTTTTGATACCTCAATTAGTTTAGGAGGAAAAGATTCTTAAAGATAACATTGAAAAATTACAATTTAAAAAATTTGTTTTATTGGGGTTGAGTTCAAAAATTAATATCTGCTTTATATTTGGAATCGGAGAAACGAAACTTTGTGGTTTTATTTAGAATTGAATGACGATTTCAATGCTTCACACCATTTTTTGATATCTCAATTGGTTTAAGAGACAAAAATTCTCAAAGATTAAAAAAATTCATCTTTTAAAAAAACCGTTTTTTAAGGTTATGCTTAGAAATTAATATCTACTTTATGCCTAGAATCGAAGAATCGAAATTTTGTATCATTATTAAGAATTGAATAACGATTTTATTGCTTCAAGCCATTTTTTGATATCTCAATTAATTTAGGAGGAAAATATTTTTAAAGATAACATTGAAAAATTACAATTTACAAAAATCCGTTTTGTTGGGCTTGTGTTCAAAAATTAATATCTCCTTTATATTTATAATCGAAGAAACGAAACTTTATGGTTTTATTTAGAATTGAATGGCGATTTTAATGCTTCAAACCATTTTTGGATATCTCAATTAGTTTAAGAGAAAAAATTCTCAAAGATAACATTAAAAATTCATCTGTTAAAAAATCCGTTTTTTAAGGTTATATTCAAAAATTAATATCTACTTTATGTCTAGAATCGAAATTTTGCAAAATTATTAAGAATTGAATAACGATTTTAATGAATCAAGCCATTTTTTGATATCTCAATTAGTTTAGGAGGAAAATATTCTTAAAGATAACATTGAAAAATTATAATTTAAAAAAATCCGTTTTGTTGGGGTTGAATTCAAAAATGAATATCTGCCTTATATTTAGAATCGAAGAAACGAAACTTTGTGATTTTATTTAGAATTGAATGACGATTTTAATGCTTCAAACCATTCTTTGATATCTCAATTAGTTTAAGAGAAAAATATTCTAAAAGATAACATTAAAAAATTTATCTTTTAAAAAGTACGTTTTTTAAGGTTATGTTCAAACATTAATATCTACTTTATGCCTAGAATCGAAGAATCGAAATTTTGTGTCATTGTTAAGAATTGAATAACGATTTTAATGATTCAAGCCATTTTTTGATATCTTAAGTAGTTTAGGAGAAAAATATATAAAAGGTAACATTGAAAAATTACAATTAATAAAAATCCGTTTTGTTGAGGTTGAGCTCAAAAACGAATATCTTCTTTATATTTAGAATCGAGGAAACGAAACTTTGTGGTTTTATTTAGAATTGAATGACGATTTCAATGCTTTAAACCATTCTTTGATATCCCAACTAGTTTAAGAGAAAGAAATTCTCAAAAACAACATTAAAAAATTCATCTTTTAAAAAGTCCGTTTTTAAGGTTATGTTCAAAAATTAATATCTACTTTATGCCTAGAGTCGAACAATCGAAATTTTGTATCATTATTAAGAATTGAATAACGATTTTATTACTTCAAGCCATATTTTGATATCTCAAATAGTTTAGGAGGAAAATATTTTTAAAGATAACATTGAAAAATTACAATTTACAAAAATCCGTTTTGTTGGGCTTGAGTTCAAAAATTAATATCTCCTTTATATTTATAATCGAAGAAACGAAACTTTGAGGTTTTATTTAGAATTGAATGACGATTTTAATGCTTCAAACCATTTTTTGATATCTCAATTAGTTCAAGAGAAAAAAATTCTCAAAGATAACATTAAAATCCGTTTTTTAAGGATATATTCAAAAATTAATATCTACTTTATGTCTAGAATCGAAGAATCGAAATTTTCTAAAATTATTAAGAATTGAATAACGATTTTAACGAATGAAGCCATTTTTTGATATCTCATTTAGTTTAGGAGGAAAATATTCTTAAAGATAACATTGAAAAATTATAATTTAAAAAAACCCGTTTTGTTGGGGTTGAATTCAAAAATTAATATCTGCTTTATATTTAGAATCGAAGAAACGAAACTTTGTGATTTTACTTAGAATTGAATGACGATTTTAATGCTTCAAACCATTCTTTGATATCTCATTTAGTTAAAGAGAAAAAAATTCTCAAAGATAATATTAAAAAATTCATCTTTTAAAAAATCCGTTTTTTAAGAATATATTCAAAAATTAATATCTACTTTATGTCTAGAATCGAAGAATCGAAATTTTGCAAAATTATTAAGAATTGAATAACGATTTTAATGATTCAAGTCATTTTTTGATATCTCAATTAGTTTAGGAGGAAAATATTCTTAAAGATAACATTGAAAAATTACAGTTTTAAAGATCCGTTTTGTTGGGATTGAGTTCAATAATTAATATCTACTTTATATTTAGAATCGGAGAAACGAAACTTAATGGTTTTATTTAGAATAGAGTGACAAAAAAAAAGAAGAGAAACAAATTGCTAAATATAAGATTAAAAAAAAACCGTTTATTAAGGTTAACTGCAAAAATTAATAATTAATCTACTTTATGCCTAGAATCGAAATTTGAACACGAATTACATTTATCATTCATTTAAAAGGAATTCTTTTTTTCTCTTATTTCTATTAAAAATTAGTAATTAAAAATTTCTTAATTACCTTGTAATCCAAATAAATGATTCGTACTTTTGTCACCACCCAACTAATTACTATACAACAAACTAGATCCAGAACTATACATAGAAATTTGTGGAAATCCATCAGTAGAAGAGGAATTTCCTCCAATTTTTTCCCTAATTTCATTTAAATCCTGCGAAATCATCCCATTTACTTGAGGAACATCTAAAACTGTTTGAAACACTTCAGCAACAATCCCTTCAGAATTCGCCGTATAACAATAAAAAATTGCAATTTAAAACAATCCATTTTGTTGGGGTTGAGTTCAAAAATTAATATCTGCTTTATATTTAGAATCGAAGAAACGAAACTTTGTGGTATTACTTAGAATTGAATGACGATTCTAATGCTTTAAATCATTTTTTGATATCTCAATTAGTTTAAGAGAAAAAAGTTCTAAAAAATAACATTAAAAAATTCATCTCTTAATAAATCCGTTTTTTAAGGTTTTGTTTAAAAGATAATATCTAGTTTATGCCAAGAATCGAAGAATCGAAATTTTGTATCATTATTAATAATTGAATAACGATTTTATTGCTTCAAGCCATATTTTGATATCTCAAATAGTTGAGGAGGAAAGTATTATTAAAGATAACATTGAAAAATTACAATTTAAAAAAATCCGTTTTGTTGGGGTTGAGTTCAAAAATTAATATCTCGTTTATATTTAGAATCGAAGAATCGAAACTTTGTGGTTTAATTTAGAATTGAATGACGATTTTAATGCTTCAAGCCATTCTTTGATATCTCAACTAGTTTAAGAGAAAAATGTTCTAAAAGATAACATTAAAAAATTTATCTTTTAAAAAGTACGTTTTTTAAGGTTATATTCAAAAATTAATATCTACTTTATGTCTAGAATCGGAGAATCGAAATTTTGCAAAATTATTAAGAATTGAATAACGATTTTAATGAATCATTTTTTGATATCTCAATTAGTTTAGGAGGAAAATATTCTTAAAAAAAACATTGAAATATTACAATTTAAAAAAATCCGTTTTGTTGGAGTAGAGTTCAAAAATTAATATCTGCTTCATATTTAGAATCGAAGAAACGAAATTTTGTATAATTATTAAGAATTGAATAACGATTTTATAGCTTCAAGCCACATTTTGATATCTCAAATAGTTGAGGAGGAAAATATTATTAAAGATAACATTGAAAAATTACAATTTAAAAAAAAATCTGTTTTGTTGGGGTTGAGTTCAAAAATTAATATCTCGTTTATATTTAGAATCGAAGAATTGAAACTTTGTGGTATTATTTAGAATTGAATGGCGATTTTAATGCTTCAACCCTTTTTTTGATATCTCATTTAGTTTAGGAGAAAAATATTCTTAAAGATAACACTGCAAAAATACAATTTAAAAAAATCCGTTTTGTTGTGGTTGACTTCAAAAATTAATATCTCCTTTATATTTAGAATCGAAGAAACAAAACTTTGTGATTTTATTTAGAATTGAATGACGATTTTAATGCTTCAAACCATTCTTTGATATCTCAATTAGTTTAAGAGAAAAATATTCTAAAAGATAACATTAAAAAATTTATCTTTTAAAAAATCCGTTTTTTAGGGTTATGTTCAAAAATTAATATCTACTTTATGCCAAAAATCGAAGAATCCAAATTTTGTGTAATTATTAAGAATTGAATAACGATTTTATTGCTTCAAGCCATTTTTTGATATCTCAAATAGTTGAGGAGGAAAATATTATTAAAGATAACATTGAAAAATTACAGTTTAAAAAAATCTGTTTTGTTGGGGTTCAGTTCAAAAATTAATATCTCCTTTATATTTAGAATCGAAAAAACGAAACTTAGTGGTTTCATTTAGAATTGAATGGCGATTTTAATGCTTTAAACCATTTTTTGATATCTCAATTAGTTAAGAGAAAAAGATTCTGAAATATAAAATATAAAATTACAATTACACGTCTTTTGAGACGGTTGCATTTTATGTGGGACAAAGTAAGTAGGTTTCTATGGAAATATATTTTAGTATATTGCATCTTATGTGAAATTCACTGTATTTATATCAAAGACGTGAAAATCTAAAAGGCTACATCCTAGTAACAGGTGTACAGGTCGAAGGTCCATTCGTGACGTCAACGCTGAATAACAATTAAAACGTTATATCCGAAGTCTATTCTAACGAGATTCGTTATATCGAGGTTTTACTATAGTAAGTATGGAAGTCGTTTTAAATAATGGATGGAAAAGTGGATTTGCCACATTATTCTCGAAGATGCTAAAAGATAAAGAACTAAAAACCGGGTGTAATGTTACTCGGTGTTACCTCAAAGGATTTGGTTCGGTTCTAGGTATAACAACGGTTGAATGGGGCGAAAACTTTTATGGAATGAATATTTTAAGAGTTTTACTCGTAAGAAGAAGCTACGCCGATATTTCTAAAATTTATAAGGTTTTTATTATTAAAAGCGAATCGAATGAATTCTTTCAAATCCACTTCACATATTAATTATTGATTTTTTTCACTCAATTTCTGTTAGAACTCATTTCCGGTGTAACATCATTTGCGTAATGCAAAAATAAACAATCAAAAAATACAATTTCAAGAATTTGTAACTTGTAATCAATAATATTTGTTTTAGGTGCTTGCTTAAATTATGGACATTCATGTTTGGGAGGTAAATGTTCAATTAAATTAATTCGTTATCTAACTTATTTCTTTTCATATACATTTCTATTCGTAGATTTTTATTCTTGTTGCGTAATCTAATATTCTTTTGTAGCCCATGGAAAAAGAGATCAACTAAGGAGTACACCTGCACGTGATGACTCCACGATTATGGAGATACCGATCGATATCAGATGGTTTTTAACTAAATTATATGGAGGAAATAATGTTATGGATGTGCCGGGATTAAGATATCAGCAACGCCAAAGAGAAAACGATTTCAACGAATATATTCAAAGGTTGATAAAGAAATTAAATCCTAATCGAAAATAATTTTGTTCTTTTAGTTTTCCCGAAGACAATGAAATTAAAGAACCTGAAGATACCTATATTGAAGATGAATACAAGGTTTTAAAAGATATCCAATTTTTAAACTTTTTGGTAAAAAAATTAACACAAAAAAATATGTAATATAGATTTAAAATTTCTTGTTTTAGAAAAATAGAAAATTCTTTAATCAAGACATTTATCGTAATTAATAAAAAAAGGATGGATATGGAAACTTGAAATTAGATTAAATCATTTTAGATTATTTGTTTAAAATCTAAAAAAAAACCAAGTTAATTAAAAATTTTCAAAACATGGCTGGATTGAAAATTTTTAAATCGGAAGAAAAAGTATTATAAATTCTACATAAATTATAAATAATTATAAATAGTTAAAACGTAAAAAAAAGACTGTGTGCCAACTCAATTTGCTTGGATAAATAAAATCAAGTATAAATGTGTTATTTCATTAATTTTATTATTATAAATTACAAAAAAAAATATAAATTTAATCAAATTTAATTAATTTATTTTATTTAAACACCCAAAAATATTAAAATTCTTTCCAAAACATTAAATTAACACGCGGAATTTCATTTGAATCGCATTCCTTAAATTCATTCCTTAAAAAAAATAATTTGATAACAAATTATTGTTAGAAATAACCCAAAAACAACTTACCCGATTACGCCGGGTTTTTTAAAAGCATTTAATGCTTGTTTGGTAAGATAAACTCGATCACTATTATCACAAATAATCCTCGACATTGAAGCTTGTTTCAGTTCTCTCAATTGATCTAAAATATTTAAGTTAAATCACTTAAATAGAGAAAATCACCGTATCCGAATTTTAAGGAGTTACATAATGATTTATGTCTTAAATTAGTCCTTAAAAGCTTTATTTTTGGATAATGGAAGAAATTACTGGGTTTAGTATAAAAAAAATTAAGAAAAAAAATCTTACAGAAAAACTTATCAATTGGGATTATGCTAGAAAGATAATAATTTAAAAAATCGCCACGACCGTATTTTAAGGAGTTAGAAAATGATTTATGTTTTAAATGGAACCTAAAAGGCTCTATTTTAAGATAATGAATAAAAAATATGGGGTTTGATATAAAAAAAATCAAGAAAAAAATCATAAAGAAAAACTTGTTAATTACACCAACCTTATTTTTAAGAGAAGGAAAGTGATTTATGTCTTAAATTAAACCTAAAAGTCTCTATTTTTAGATAATAAATAGAAATTATGAGGTTATATATAAAATAATTTTGAAAAAAAATCGTAAAGAAAAACTTTCCAATTGGGGTTATACTAGGAAAAGTGATAATAAAAAAAAATCACCACGACCGTATTTTAAGAAGTTAAAAAATGATTTTTCTTTTAAATGGAACCTAAAAGGACATATTTTACGATAATGAATAGAAAATATGGGGTTTGATATAAAAAAAATCTAGAAAAAAGATCTTAAAGAAAAACTTGTTAATTGAGGTGATGCTAAAAATAAGAAAAAAATTTAAAAATCACACCCATCTTATTTTTAAGAGAAAGAAAGTGATTTATATCTCAAATTAAACCTAAAAGACTCTATTTTTAGATAATAAATAGAAATTATCGGGTTTTATATAAAAAAAATCTAGAAAAACAATCGTAAAGAGAAACATGTCAATTGGGGTTACTTAGAAAAGGCGATAATTTAAAGAATCACCACCGCTGTATTTTAAGGAGCTAGAAAATGATTTATGTTTTGAATGGAACCTAAAAAGCTCTGTTTTATGCTAATGAATAGAAATTATGGGGTTTTATTTAAAAAAAATCTAGAAAAAGAATCTTAAAGAAAACCTTGTTAATTGAAGTTATGATAAAAACAAGAAAAATTTTAAAAAATCACACCAACCTTATTTTTAAGAGAAGGAAAGTAATTTATGTCTTAAATTAAACCTGAAAGACTCTATTTTAAGATAATGAATGCAAAATATGGGGTTTGGTATAAAAAAAAATCTAGAAAAAAAATCTTAAAGAAAAACTTGTCAATTGGGGTTATGCTAGAAAATGTGATAATTAAAAAAATCACTACGACCGTATTTTAAGAAGTCAAAAAATGATTTATATTTTAAATGGAACTTAAAAGGCTCTATTTTATGCTAATTAATAGAAATTATGGGGTTTAATTTAAAAAAAAATCTAGAAAAAGTATCTTAAAGAAAACAAGGTTATGATAAAAATAAGAAAAATTTTAAAAAATCACACCTTTTTAACAGAAGGAAAGTGATTTATGTCTTAAATTAAACCTAAAAGTCTCTATTTTTAGATAATGAATAGAAATTATGAGGTTATATATAAAAAAAATCTAGAAAAAAAATCGTAAAAAAAATTTGTCAATTGGGGTTATGCTAGAAAAGATAATAATTTAAAAAAATCACACCAACCTTATTTATAAGAGAAGGAAAGTGATTTATGTCTTAAATTAAACCTAAAAGACTCTATTTTAAGATAATGAATAGAAAATATGGGGTTTGATATAAAAAAAATCTAGAAAAAAGATTTTAAAGAAAAACTTTTCAATAGGGGTTATACTAGGAAAGGTGACAATTAAAAAAATCACCACGACCGTATTTTAAGAGGTTAAAAAATGATTTATTTTTTAAATGGAACCTAAAAGACTCTATTTTATGCTAATGAATAGAAATTATGGGGTTTTATTTACAAAAGATTTAAAAAAAGAATCTTCAAGAAAACCTTGTTAATTGAGGTTATGATAAAAATAAAATAAATTTTAAAAAATCACACTAACCTTATTTTTAAATGAAGGAAAGTGATTTATGTCTCAAATTAAACCTAAAAGACTTTGTTTTAAGATAATTAATAGAAATTATGAGGTTATCTATAAAAAAATCTAGAAAAAAAATCGTAAAGAAAAACTTTTCAATTGGGGTTATACTAGAAAAGGTGATAATTAAAAAAATCGCCACGACCGTATTTTAAGGAGTTAGAAAATGATCTACGTTTTAAATAGAACTTAAAAGGCTCTATTTTAAGATAATGAATAGAAAATATGGGGTTTGATATAAAAAAAAATCTAGAAAAAAAATTTTATAGCAAAACTTGTTAATTGAGGTTTTTCTAAAAAAAAAGGATGATTGAAAAAAATCACAGCAACCTTATTTTTAAGGGAAGGAACGTGATTTATGTCTTAAATTAAACCTAAAAGACTCTATTTTTGGATATTGAATAGAAATTATGAGGTTTGATAAAAAAAATCTAGAAAAAAAGTCGTAAAGAAAAACTTTTCAATTGGGATTATACTAGGAAAAGTGGTAATTAAAAAAATCACCACGGCCGTATTTTAAGGAGTTAGAAAATGATTTATGTTTTAAATGGAACCTAAAAGGCTTTATTTTTGGATAATGAATAGAAATTATGAGGTTTGATATAAAAAAAATCTAGAAAAAAAGTCGTAAAAAAAATTTTTCAATGGGGTTATACCAGAAAAGGTGATAATTAAAAAAATCACCATGACCGTATTTTAAGGAGTTAGAAAATGATTTATATTTTAAATGGAACTTAAAAGGCTCTATTTTATGCTAATTAATAGAAATTATGGGATTTTATTTAAAAAAAATCTAGAAAAAGTATCTTAAAGAAAACCTTGTTAATTGAGGTTATGATAAAAATAAGAAAAATTTTAAAAAATCACAAATTTTTAAGAGAAGGAAAGTGATTTATATCTTAAATTAAACCTAAAAGTCTCTATTTTTAGATAATGAATAGAAATTATGAGGTTATATATAAAAAGAATCTAGAAAAAAGAGCGTAAAGAATTTGTCAATTGGGGTTATGCTAGAAAAAATAATAATTTAAAAAATCGACATGACCGTATTTTAAGGAGTTAGAAAATGATTTATGTTTTAAATGGAACCTAAAAGGCTTTATTTTAAGATAATGAATAAAAAATATGGGGTTTGATATAAAAAAAATCTAGAAAAAAAGTCTTAAAGGATAACTTGTTAATTGAGGTTTTGCTAAAAAAAGGATAATTTAAAAAATCACACCGTCCTTATTTTTAAGAGAAGAAAAGTGATTTAGGTCTTAAATTAAACCTAAAAGTCTCTATTTTTAGATAATGAATAGAAATTATGAGGTTATATATAAAAAAAATTTAAAATAAAAATCGTAAAGAAAAATTTGTCAATTGGGGTTATGCTAGAAAAGGTGATAATTTAAAACATTACTACGACCGTATTTTAAAGATTTAAAAAATCATTTATGCTTTATATGGAACCGAAAAGGCTATATTTTATGCTAATGAATGAAATATATGGTGTTTGATATAAAAAAAATTTCGAAAAAAAATTTTAATGAAAAACTTGCCAATTGGGGTTATGCTAAAAAAGCACGATAATTTTAAAAAAATCACACCAACCCTATTTTTAAGAGAAAGAAAGTGATTTATGTCTTAAATTAAACCTAAAAGACTCTATTTTTGGATAATGAATAGAAATGTTGGGGTTTTATATGAAAAAAATCTAGAAAAAGAATCGTAAAGAAAAACTTTTCAATAGGGGTTATACTGATAATTAAAAAAATCACTATTTAATATTCACAATCAATATATTTTAAATGGAACCTCAATAAAGGCTCTATTTTAAGATAATGAAAAAATCTTAAGGAAAAACCTGTTAATTGGGGTGATGCTAAAAATAAGAAAAATTTAAAAAAATCACACCAACCTTATTTTTAAGAGAAGGAAAGTGATTTATATCTCAAATTAAACCTAAAAGACTATATTTTAAAATAATTAATAGAAATCTTGGGGTTTTATAAAAAGAAATCTAGAAAAAAAATCGTAAAGAAAAACTTGTCAGTTGGAGTTATGCTAGAAAAGGTGGTAATTTAAAAAATCACTACGACCGTATTTTAAGGAGTTAGAAAATGATTTATGTTCTAAATAGAACCTAATAGGCTCTATTTTAAGATAATGAATAGAAAATATGGGGTGTGATATAAAAAAAATCTAGAAAAAAATTTTAAGGAAAAACTTGTTAATTGAGTTGATGCTAGAAAAGGTAATAATTTAAAAAATCGCCACGACCGTATTTTAAAGAGTTAGAAAATGATCTATGTTTTAAATGGAACTTAAAAGGCTCTATTTTATGATAATTAATAGAAATTATGATGTTTTATTTAAAAAAAAAACAGAAAAAAATCTTGAAGAAAAACTTGTTAATTGAGATTATGCCAAAACAAGAATAATTTAAAAAAAAACACATCAACCTTATTTTTAAAAGAAAGAAACTGATTTATGTCTTAAATTAAACCTAAAAGTGTCTATTTTTAGACAATGAATAGAAATTATGAGGTTATATAAATATAAAAAAATCCAGATAAAAATCGTAAAGAAAAACTTGTCAATTTTTATGCTAGCAAAGGAGATAATTTAAAAAATCACCACAACCGTATTTTAAGAACTTAGAAAATGACTTATGGCTCAAATTGAACCCAAAAGATTCTATTTTTAGATAATGAATAGAAATTATCAGGTTTTATGCAGGGTGCCCATTATGTATGGAATATAGTATATATGTTGGTAGGTATCAACTTTATAAAAAAACATTTAATTGTTTTTAATTCAGAAAACAAATGAGTAACGAATAATAACAAAATTTTTTTAAATGGCAATATGTTCTTTCTTTAGGCTCATTTGATAGAGATTGTTTATTAAAATTGTTTATTAATAAAAATTAATCAATAACATTAATCTAGATATCTGAGATCGTCAAGTACCTCGAATTATTACTGTAAATTAAATTTACATACAAAATAAAACAAATAAACGAAAAATTAGTGTACATCTCCAATAATTTGAGGTACTTCGAGGTACTTGACGATCTCGGATATCTAGATTAATGTTATTAATTAAATTTTCTTAATAAACAATTTTTACATGTTTTTCCAAAATTTTCTGATATAAGGGTACTAAAATTTTACGTCATCGTAAAGAGAAAAAAAATCTCTATAAAATGAGAATAACAAAAGGGTACATTGCCATTTTAAAAACTTCAAGTGTTATTCGTTACTCATTTGTGTTTTGAATTAAAAACAATTGAATGCAGTCTTATTATGGCAAATAAAATGTTAACCAACTTTTGTATAAAATGTTTTTTTATAAAGTTAATACCTACCAAGATATATACTATATTCCATACATAATGGGCACCCTGTATAAAAAATCTAGTAAAAAAATCGTAAAGAAAAATATATCAAGTGAGGTTATGCCAGAAAAGGATATAATTAAAAAAATCACCATGACCGTATTTTAATGAGTTCAAAAATGATTTATGTTTCAAATTGAACCTCAAAGGCTCTATTTTCAGATAACGAATAGAAAATATGAGGTTTGATATAAAAAAATCTAGAAATAAATCTTAAAGAAAAATTTTTTAGTTGAGGTTATGCTAAAAAAAAGATAATAAAATTTTAAAGAAATCACACCAACCTTATTTTTAAAAGAAGGAAAGTGATTTATGTCTTAAATTAAACATAAAAGACTATTTTTAGATAATTAATAAAAATTTTGGGGTTTCATATACTTAAAAAAAATTTAGAAAAAAAATCTTAAAGAAAAACTTGTTAACTGAGGATAGGCTACAGAAAGGATAACTTAATAAGATCACACCAGCCTTATTTTTAAGAGAAGGAAAGTGATTTATGTCTTAAATTGAACCTAAAAAAAGACTCTACTTTTAGATAAATAATAAAAATTTTGGGGTTTTATATAAAAAAAATGTAGAAAAAAATCTTAAAGAAAAACATATCAATAGGGGTTATGCTGGAAAAGGTAATAATTTAAAAAGTCACCACAACCGTATACTTTAAGAACTTAGAAAATGACTTATGGCTAAAATTGAACTAAAAGGCTCTATTTTTAGATAATGAATAGAAATTATGAGGTTTTATACAGGCCATCTACGACGACCGTCCATTAGAACTATACAGGGTTTCCCAAAAGTTCCGGGACGGAGCTATAAGTTTTGAACGAGTGTAGAATAAAATTTGAAAATTTGGGGATCACTAAAGTCATGAATGTAGTCATGAAAACTACAATCTTAGTTAGTTTAGAACTTCCATGCAATGTGGAGTGTTTTTTAGGGGATGACCACCCCTACATTTTTAAATAGTAATGAAAAAAGAAACACAAAATCCGATATCTTAATTCTTTCCAGAATTATGAGGGGCTGACTACCAAATGGAAAAATAAAATGCTTTCATGTTTTTTTGCACGTTTATTAAGATTTTTATAACAAATGTTCAAATTGTCAAAAAACTGTTCAAAATTGTTCAAAACGCATACTTGAAGATTCCACCAATGTCACTAGGGATATGGGTCATTGCGAGACCGAAGAGGTCGACAATTTGAACATTTGTTACAAAAATCGTAATAAACGTGCAAAAAAAAACATGAAAACATCTTATTTTGCCATTTGTTAGTCAACCCCTCATAATTCTTGAAAGAATTAAGATATCGGGTTTTGGTTTATGGGGTTGTGTTTCTTTTTTCGTAACTCCACATCGCATGGAGGTTCTAAACTATCTAAGAATGTAGTTTTTATGACTCTTTAATGATCCCCAAATTTTCAAATTTTTTTCTTCACTCATTCAAAACTCATACCTCCGTCCCGGAAGTTTTGGGAATACCTGTATAGAGAACCAAATGACGTGGGGGTTTGAAAATTTGTGGACTTATTATGTTTGATAAAATATTTTTGGTTGTCGGGCACTTGTGGTTACACCGGAATTGGTAACAATTTTCATATTTCAAATGGAACATTCTGTATTTTATTATATTTTTGAAATCTTTGTTCAATTGTTGAGTCATTTTGAGATATTAATTTTTTTTGGAAAAAAATGACAGCTGCAACCTTACTTTCAATAATATAATTTATCAATCATCTACTCTGATCGCTGGAAAAGAATGTTTTGTGTTAGGAATGTTGTGGTAGTAATGCATTATCGAATGATCAGTAAGGTCCTTCGAAATGTTATACAGGCTGTTTGATACTCGCTCTTTTTTTACGATAAAAACTTAAATTCAGAGAGATACCAAGGAATTTTACGCAAGGTGTTGAGGACAGCATTGCGACTTCTTCCAGAATATGATGCTTGGTATCAAATGACGGTGTTCCTGCACATAGGACCAATACAGTGAGAGTTGTGCTAAACGATATGTTTGAAGATAGATGGATTGGAATTAACGAGCCATACATATATCCACCCCGATTTAACGACTTAATTCCACTGAATCTTTTTATTTGGGGTTCTATTAAAGTCCAAATGATCATCTTTTTTCATAGAATTCGAAAATGATTTCATATGTTAGGGTTCACATTTGAAAAAATGGACTTTTAGGGCTTTTCTTAAGTTCAACTTTGATATTATAATTTGAACACCCTGTATAGCATTTTGACGAATCTTACTGATTCTCCGATAATACAGTATTGCCACAACATTTCTAATATAAACCTTGTTTTCTAGCAATCGGAGTAGATGATTTATAAATTATTGAAGATAATATAGCAACTGTCTATTTTTTTTAAATAATAACTCAAAAATGACTCAACTTAGGTATCATATAATTGAATAAAATTTCTAAAATGTAATAAAATACAGGTTCCATTTGAAATATGAAAATTTACATCACTTCCGGTGGAATCACAAGTAATTGGAAAGTGAAAATATTTTAGTTAACGAGATCGTATCAAACATCATAAGGCCACAAATTTTCAAACCCCTAATTCATTTGGTTCCCTATACATACAGTTCTAATGAACGGTTGTCGTGGATAATCCTATACAGGGTGTGCCGCAACGATTGTACAAAACTGCATCAGCGTATTCTATGATCAAAAATAAACAAAAAAAGCCTAATAAACATAGGTCCGAAAATGGACCATTTTCGAGATATTCAAAGATTTAGTTTCATAAGTTGATATTGTTAACATCATGAATTTAAATTTGTTTTTATAATAATTAAGTCGTTACTATGATTACGATAAGTTGTCTAATCAAAAAAAAATAATAATACTTCACGAAATTATTATTTTACTATTTAATTTAATAAAACTATTAAGTATGGCTCCTATTAATTACTCCAAGGAAGAGATGGCGGATATGGTGTATTGTTACGGACTAGCTGATGGAAATGCGTCGTTAGCAGCTCGTCATTACGCGCAAAGGTTCCCGAACAGACGATTGCCTAATAGTCACACCTTTAGCAGACTATTTCTCAGATTAAAAGAAACGGGAAGCGTAACCCACAGCCATTCCACGGAGAGACATTACACAAGGCCGGTGGAATTAGAAGAAGCAGTTTTGAGAAGAGTCGATGAAAATGCCTCAACCAGCATTAGAAGAATTTCTGCACAAGAAAACATTAACAAAACAACCGTTCACCGCATTTTAAGGGAGCAGTTGCTTTATCCTTATCATTACAACACCGTTCAAGCTCTAACAGAAAATGATGGCGAAAAAAGAGAGATTTTTTGTAGGTGGGCCATACAGGAAGAGGTAGTAAACGTCGACTTTCCCATAAACATTGTATTTACGGATGAAGCAACATTTACTCAAAGCGGAATTTTTAATATTCATAATGCGCACGTTTGGAGCGATGAAAATCCCCATGCAATACTAGAAACTCATCATCAGTGGCGATTCAGTGTTAATGTATGGGCTGGAGTTATAGGTGATCAGTTATTAGGTCCATTTTTTCTTCCAAAGAGATTGACAGCCGATGCCTACATACATTTTTTACAAAATGACCTTACAGAGGCATTTGATGAATTACCTCAACAAATTCTAGAAGATTGCTACTTTATGCACGATTATGCACGCGCTACTCGAGCATACTTAAATAACAGATTTGGCAATAAGTGGATTGGCCGAGGAGGGCCACCTCGTTCACCAGATTTAAATCCGTTAGATTTTTGGTTTTGGGGACATTTAAAACAAATTGTTTATTCTGAAGACGTTCAAAATGTGCAGGATTTGAAGAATAAAATTAGTAACGCATTTGACACAGTAAAACAAATTCCTGGTATCTTTGAACGCATTAGAAGTTCATTTAGAAAACGTATCCGTTTGTGTTTAGAAGTAAATGGTGCGCATATTGAACATTTATTATGACATGAATCTTTTCCAATTTGTTAAATATTCGTTGTTTTTATGCTGGTTGAACGATTTTCTTCGACAATCTTTGTTACTTGTTTTGTTAAATTATTAATGAACTGTATTAATTAACTTAATATTATCTTATTATTTATTAAACTTTATCTTAACCATCGTAACCATGGTAATCATATAATTACTGCATCTAAATCGTTAGAATTAATGATGTTTACAATAGGTCAGCTTATGAAACTAAAACTTTGAATATCTCGAAATTGGTCCATTTTCGGACCTATGTTTATTAGACTTTTCTTGTCTGTTTTCGATCAGAGAATACGCTGATGCAGTATTGTACAATCGTTGCGGGACACCCTGTATAAAGAAATCGTAAAGAAAAACATGTTAATGGAGGTTATGTTAAAAAAATGTTATTACCTAAATTAAAGTGCCCTGGATTAACTTTAGGATTATTTTCAAAAAAATATCGATCTCCTTTTTTCAACCTGGAGAATTGGTCTGCTATTATATCCCTAAATGTTAAACCTAAGATACTTCCCGGCACCTTTCCTTCCAATAGACCACCAACCCAAAGATCTATATCATCTGGAGATGCATAAACCTTTGATAATTTTTCACCCAACTACAATTATTTAATTATCAAAAAAAAATTATTGCAAATATAATTAGATTACATACTTCTGAACCAAATTCAATAAAACTCTTAATTGGTTCTAACCCAACTAAAATCCTATAATCATTATAAGGCCTCAATCCATGATCTCGACCTCTTTGAATATTAAGGGAAGCTAAATCAACCCCGAAAGGATTTCCAGCCTTAAACATATACTTTGTTAACTAAAAAAAAGCAAAAAATGATAATTTAAAAAAAAAAAATTAAGAAATTTTATAATTTACAGCATCAGACAAAAAACCATCAGCTTTTTCAATCGGTTCAGTTGTAAGTGAGGAAAGTATCTCATCTAAAAATTCATACTTTCTCATCCTAGCCGGATAAAACATCACTTCTGGGATACTAACAACTTCCTCCATCTTAATTTTACTATATAAACTATAAAAATCTAATTCAAAGATAGTATAAATAAAAATTATTGAAATAACCTTAAAGTTCCCCCAACAATTGAATGCCCAAACCGATAAGCAGCAGCAGCAAATTCATTCGTAATCGACGGCTCAACCCCTTCATCATAATCATCAGAATAAAACCCATCATCTTCAAGATTTAACCCAAACTCTTCCATGGCGATTTCACCTAAAACACTCGGTAAAAACTCTTTATACACGATAACTTGTAATTGAGCGATTAAAATGCGTCGTGTTTCCAAAAATATGCGCTCATCCGTCCAATTTTCATTAATCTCCTCTAAAATCCCAGCAATTCTATTATGTTCTCTCATAAAAAGAGTATGTACAGCAACTAAAGTGATCATTTGATTCGTTCTTGAATCCCCCGATTCAAAACAAGCCGATCCTTTCTCCATGGTTAAACAAGCTTCTTCATGCCGACTTAATGGGAGGAGATTTCTTCCGAAATCTTCGAATGATTTTAATCGGCCACCTTCGAAAGTTCGTAATTTTAAAGCTTGATCTCCGCTTGAACCGTAAACCGTTGAGGCGTCTATGAAATGGGTTACTTTGTTCATTTGTTGTGTGTAACCTAAAGAACAATCAGTTCGAGGCGATAACATCGATCGGACGAAATTGATGCATTTCACGTTAAATCTTGAGTAGAATTCGTCGTCGTGTGGGACTTCGATTGGAAGACACGCATGGTGTTGATAAATTTCCGGTAAAATATATTCGTCTTTTTCACCACAACAAGAAATTCCACTTCCATTTGCTTCAATTTAACACTATCAATTTTTAAAAAAATGATATAATGATTACTTACGAAAAGTAAAATCTAAAGAATGAGTAATATCATGCGATAAGAATTGCCCAAATTGCATAACCATTAAGGTGTGGTCATGATCAGGATTAGGGGTGTCTTCAAAAATGGTTGAACTGATTAATCTCGGGCTTGGTAACGGTTGATTGAGGATGGATCTTCTTGGTGACCAAATTCCATCGTGGTATTTAGGAGGAAGTAATCTTGAGAATGGTGATAAGGAACTTCCCCAAGATGGGTTATGATGTGTGTTACAAGAGCCATCAAATCTTCTGTATGGTGATAAAATTGGTGGACATTTTGGTTGAGGGATGCAAGAAGAACGTAATGGAGTTTCGTGTAAATTATCTCCAATGATGTTCCATTCGAAATCATCAACTAAAATCGATTGTCTAGGAAAAAACAAAATTTTTGTATTTTCTTTGGAATATTATTCCAAATTGTATAAAATCTTAATAGGAAAGATTTGGGTAATACGAAATGGAGAGATACTGGAATGATAAGAAGCAGAAAAGTACTGGAAGAGATGGAATAGGGTGGAAAAAAGAGACTAGGTTGAAATGTGGGAAATTAGAAACACATTGCAATGGCAAGAAAGATACTAGAAAGAATACAGAATGTGAGAGCATGTTTTTATGAATTTATTGCATTTTCAAGTTATTAATGGTAACATTCGATAATTGGAGCATGTTATACAAAAACTTTTAGAACAAAAATTGTAGCAACATTTATTCTTAACGATATTGCTCTCTTGCAATTTTGCTCTCACATGCATAGATATCGAGAAAATTACGAAAGCCTGAACATTTTATGAATTTCGTTGTTTTACAACTAATCGTAACACTTCGGAATTGGAGCATGTTACAAAAAAACTTTTAGAACAAAAGTTGTAACACATTTTATTTTCAACAATATTGCTCTCCTACACATTTACTCTTGGATGCGTCAATATTGAGAAAAATACATAAATATGAAAATTTTATGAATTTGTTGCTTTTTGAAGTTATGGTAACATTCGATAATCGGAGCATGTCATAAAAAAACTTTTAGAACAAAAATTGTAGCAAAATTTATTCTTAACAATATTGCTCTTTTGCACTTTTGCCCTCACATGCATAGATATCGAGAAAAATACGAAAACCTCAAAATTTGATGGATTTCGTTGTTTTACAAGTTAGTGGTAACACTCTAGAATTGGAGCATGTTACAAAAAAACTTTTAGAACAAAAATTGTAGCAAAATTTATTCTTAACAATATTGCTCTCTTGTACTTTTGCTCTCACATGCATAGATATCGAGAAAAATACGAATACCTGAAAATTTGATGGATTTCGATGTTTTACAAGTTAATGGTAACATTCTAGAATTGGAGCATGTTACAAAAAAACTTTTAGAAGAAAAGTTGTAGCACATTTTATTTTCAAGAATATTGCTCTGTTACACTTTTACTCTTAGATGAGTCAATATTGAGAAAAATACATAAATATCAAAATTTTATGAATTTATTGCTTTTTCAAGTGATTGATGGTAACATTCGATAATCGAAGCATGTTATAAAAAAACTTTTAGAATAAAAATTGTAGCAAAATTTATTCTTAACGATACTGCTCTCTTGCACTTTTGCTCTCACATGCATAGATATCGAGAAAAATACGAAAACCTGAAAATTTGATGAATTCTTTGTTTCACAACATAATAGTAACACTCAGGAATTAGAGCATGTTATAAAAAAACTTTCCAAACAAAACTTGTAGCATATTTTATTTCCAACAATATTGCTCTCTTACACTTTTACTCTTAGATGCGTCAATATTGAGATAAATACATAAATATGAAGATTTTATAAATTTGTTGCTTTTTCAAGATAATGGTAACATTCAATAATCGGAGCATGTTATAAAAAAACTTTTAGAACAAAAGTTGTAGCAAAATTTATTCTTAACAATATTGCTCTTTTGCACTTTTGCCCTCACATGCATAGATATCGAGAAAAATACGAAAACCTCAAAATTTGATGGATTTCGTTGTTTTACAAGTTTGTGGTAACACTCTAGAATTGGAGCATATTACAAAAAAACTTTTAGAACAAAAATTGTAGCAAAATTTATTCTTAACAATATTGCTCTCTTGCATTTTTGCTCTCACTTGCATAGATATCGAGAAAAATACGAAAACCTGAAAATTTGATGGATTTCGTTGTTTTACAAGTTAGTGACACTCTGGAATTGGAGCATGTTACAAAAAAACATTTAGAAGAAAAATTGTAGCACATTTTATTTTCAACAATATTGCTCTATTACACTTTTACTCTTGGATGCGTCAATAATGAGAAAAATATATAAATATAAAAATTTGATGAATTTCGTTGCTTTACAACTTAATTGTAACACTTTGAAATTGGAGCATGTTATAAAAAAACTTTTACAACAAAAATTGTAGCGAAATTTATTCTTAACAATATTGCTCTCTTGCACTGTTGCTCTCCCATGCGTATATGAAGCAAAATACGAAAACCTGAGAATTTGATGAATTTCGTTATTTTACAAGTTAATGGTAACACTCTGGAATTGGAACATGTTACAAAAAAACTTTTAGAACAAAAGTTGTAGCAAAATTTATTCTTAACAATATTGCTCTCTTGCACTTTTGCCCTCACATGCATAGATATCGAGAAAAATACGAAAACCTCAAAATTTGATGGATTTCGTTGTTTTACAAGTTAGTGGTAACACTCTAGAATTGGAGCATGTTACAAAAAAACTTTTAGAACAAAAATTGTAGCAAAATTTGTTCTTGACAATATTACTCTCTTGCATTCTTGCTCTCACATGCATAGATATCGAGAAAAATACGAAAATCTGAAAATTTGATGAATTTCACAATTTCAACATTTCGTTGTTTTACAGGTTAATGGTAACACTAGAATTTATTTATTTAAATGTGTTTGAGATGCAGACTGGTCAACCGTCAAGCCCAGCGAAGCATCCGCTAATAAGTACAACAAGAAATATGCAGTTAACAAGAATGTTTAACAAAAACAGACAATTCTGAATAACAAGAAAACGACAATGGTTGAAATTAACAATAATAATAATAATAATAATAATAATTATTTATTCATGTAATATCACTAATCACATAGAAATCGTCATACAAAAAAAGAAAGATTATTTATTATAAAGATTATTTAAAAGACTAATCAAGAAGGTATTCAGACCACGAATAGTAACACTTGGCAACTAAATAGTCCTTCACCCATTTTTTAAAACTCAAAATTTTCTTACTTCTGACGTCTTCGGGTAACTTGTTGTAGAATTTGACTCCCCAATAGTCAACATATTTTNCATATTACAAAAAAACTTTTAGAACAAAAGTTGTAGCACATATTATTTTCAACAATATTGCTCTCTTACACTTTTACTCTTAGATGCGTCAATATTGAGAAAAATACATAAATATGAAAATTTTATGAATTTGTTGCTTTTTGAAGTTATGGTAACATTCGATAATCGGAGTATGTTATAAAAAAACTTTTAGAACAAAAATTGTAGCAAAATTTATTCTTAACAATATTGCTCTCTTGCACTTTTGCTCTCACATGCATAGATATCATAGAATTTGATGAATTTCGTTGTTTTACAAGTTAATAGTAACGCTCTAGAATTGGAGCATGTTACAAAAAAACTTTAAGAACAAAAGTTGTAGCACATTTCATTTCATTTTCATCAACATATTAAATTGTATAAAATAGCAGATCATGAATGCAAAGATTTGGGTAATACGAAATGGAGGGATACTGGAATGATAAGAAGCAGAAAAGTACTGGAAGAGATGGAATAGGGATAAGATGGAAAAAAGAGACTAGGTTGAGATGTGGGAGATTAGAAAAGCATTGCAATGGCAAGAAAGATACTAGAAAGAATACAGAAAAGCTTGAAAATAAGAGAAACTGGAAAAGTAAGAATGACCATGTACCACGCCATAAAATATTCTAAATTAATTTGATTTTTTTTATTATTACTAACCGTTCTTTTAAAGCTTTTGTGGCCAAAACAACTTCCATAGCTTTATCAGCAACTTCCATAACCATCAAAACATCATCTTTATCATAAACCCTTTTACTTCTAAAATGACCGAAAGATGGAGTTCCTTCCATTATTTTCGGTGGTTCCTTCAAGCTTAATAATTCAACATTTTTACCACGCAATTTTTCCATTCCATATCGACTCGATCTGTGGATATCCTTAAAAATCTCTTTGGATACCTTTACGAACGACTCTCGATTTCTCTTAATTGAATGAACTAAAAAATTCAATCAAATAAATCCTCTTTATTTCATTGAATTAATTAAAAGAAAACTTACCGGTATGATTTTGACCGCTGGAACAACACAAACCACGAGTTCCACCTTTTAAGGTACATTTTTTTAAATTTCCAAGGCGAAAATGAGCAGGACATTGAACCGGATGTACGCAAATTGCGTTGGTTTCCGCACAAATATGGTCGGTGAAAACGTGGATTTTATGAGTTGTTGGGGTGAAAAAATTGTTATTTAATTTGTGGTGTTTCTCTAAATCTCTTCTTACGGATTTGTGATGAACGAATGAATCAATTAAGGGGATGAAAAGGAGTAATAAAAGATTAAAGTACATATTTAAAGTGGATGAGATGAAGTGTTTACAACGACTGAAGTAAAATGAATAAAAATAAAGCAAAAAAACTTGCTTTAAACGAGTTTGATACATAATATTAAAAATGTTTTAGATTTTGTAACCAAGGAAATGATTTTAAATAATTTTTAATTAATTTCTCAAAATTTTTAGTTTGACAATTTTATTTTTTTTTTAATAAATGTCAATGTTTTAAAAAAATGGAGCCGAATAAATCGTTGAATGAAAATTTTATGTACAACAGCATGTTGGCGAGAGCTTTGATATTATTAGTCCCACCGAATGGTAAATTAACAAAAATAATTAACGCAAAATAAAATTAATTTCTTCAATTAGAACGAGATCTTTTAAGATTATGGATAACGAAATTACACGAAGTCGAAGAAACCGTCGAAAATTTACGAAGAAGAAACGAATACATGTGGTTTTTACTGTTAATGCTGCAAAGTAAACAGCTTCAGATGCCTTTTATTTCAGCCCCACCAGTAGGAGATTTGAGAGATCTTAGAGATCTTTTGGTAACAAAATTGATATTTTTGAATAAATATTTTAAATTATTAATTTAGGCCACGGATGTTTATGAGGATGTGTTAACATCAACTGATTTGTCTTGGTTGGATACGATTCCTTTGACAAGTAAAGAACCTACGGGTCCAACAAAAACATATCCAAGAGCACCTCCAGCCGAATTTATGAAAAATCAACCAATTCCTTTTAATGGGATGATTTGTTATCTTGCAGCTTTTAGCGATCACGACTTTTAAATGATATTATGATTCCAAAATCAACATTTTGTAAATAAATTATTTTAGTAAAACACATTTTGTTAGATACATTTGAAATTTTTGGGATTTTGAAGCCTCTAGGTTGGTAATAATCATAAGGGTGCGTTTACGTTGGAGCTGCGATAAACGATAATAGCGACAATACTAGCAAAACAACGAAATTGCAACGTTCTTTGCTATTATCAGGTATGGTCAGCAATAATAGGAAATTTATACAGAAAAATGTATAATTCTATATCTCCAATAGTAATAGTATTTAAATTGGATTGCGACAAAGATACGTTTTAAATATTTTCAGAAAATTCTTTTGGTGTTCCAGTATTACTTGAGGTGATATTTTTTGCTTTGGTTGTGCTTGTTTCTTGAACGTGACTTGTCTCCACTTAGTATACAATATTTCAAAAGCACAATCAGCAGTTCTTCGTGTTCTTGATAATCTAGCATTAAAGTAGTCTCTATCTGTATCAATTTATAGTCTTTTATAAGGTTTCAGTAGATTAGGGAGAAGTGGAAAGGCTACAGTGATGTGTGATGTATATTCCATGAATTTTGCAGGGTGTTGCCTTAAGTGTTTATAAAGGTGATAAAATTCTCCAACGATGAAACGTCATCTACAAAGCAGAGATCGTCACTATTATCAACGGTCTACTATAAACAGCATCATAGACAAGAATTTTTTTTTTTTTCGCTTTTTGCTTCAACGTTTTTTTTTGGCTCCAACGTAAACGGACCCTAATTGGATTATAATCGGTTATGGATAACGTTTTTTTGTTTCATTATAAACAATTTTTATCAACATCATTTTGTTTTATCATTTTTCGTTTTCGAATTATAATAGAAAAGTTAATCCAAAAATCAAAATTTGATGAATTTCGTTGTTTTACAAGCTATTAATAGTAACACTTTGGAATTTTTGTATTTTCTTTGGAATATTATTCCAAATTGTATAAAATCTTAATAGGAAAGATTTTGGTAATACGAAATGGAGAGATACTGGAATGATAAGAAAAGTCTTCCAGTCTCTTCCAGAAAGTACTGGAAGAGATGGAATAGGGTGAAAAAAAGAGGCTAGGCTGAATTGTGGGAAATTAGAAAGACATTGCAATGGCAAGAAAGATACTAGAAAGAATACAGATAATGAGAGCATGTTACAAAAAAACTTTCCAAACAAACATTGTAGCACAATTTATTTCCAACAATATTGCTCTCTTACACTTTTACTCTTACGATTAGATGCGTCAATATTGAGAAAAATACATAAATATGAAAATTTTATAAATTTGTTGCTTTTTCAACTTAATAATGGTAACATTCGATAATCGGAGCATGTTATAAAAAACTTTTAGAACAAAAATTGTAGCAAAATGTATTCTTAACAATATTGCTCTCTAGCACTTTTGCTCTCACATGCATAGATATCGAAAAAAATACAAAAACCTGAAAATTTGATGAATTTCTTTGTTTCACAACTTAATGGTAACACTCTGGAATTGGAGCATGTTACAAAAAAACTTTCCAAACAAAAGTTGTAGCACATTTTATTTCCAACAATATTGCTCCCTTACACTTTTACTCTTAGATGCGTCAATATTAAGAAAAACATAAATATGAAAATTTTATAAATTTTTTGCTTTTTCAAGATAATGGTAACATTCAATAATCGGAGCATGTTATAAAAAAACTTTTAGAACAAAAATTGTAGCAAAATTTATTCTTAACAATATTGCTCTCTTGCACTTTTGCTCTCACATGCATAGATATCGAAAAAAATACAAAAACCTGAAAATTTGATGAATTTCTTTGTTTCACAACTTAATGGTAACACTCTGGAATTGGAGCATGTTACAAAAAAACTTTTAGAACAAAAATTGTAGCAAAATTTATTCTTAACAATATTGCTCTCTTGCACTTTTGCTCTCACATGCATAGATATCGAGAAAAATACGAAAACCTGAAAATTTGATGAATTTCTTTGTTTCACAACTTAATGGTAACACTCTGGAATTGGAGCATGTTACAAAAAAAATTTTAGAATAAAAGTTGTAGCAAACTTTATTCTTAACAATATTGCTCTCTTCCACTTTTGCTCTCACATGCATAGATATCGAGAAAAATACGAAAATGTGAAAATTAATGAATTTCGTTTTCAGCCTTTTCTATTGACTGGATTATGTCAAGTGTGAGTTGATGTATCTACATACTCATCATCATTATATAGTATATTATCAAAACGTCCGTGGCGTTCGCATCAAGTTGATTACTATTTATAAGAATGGGTTAAATACCAGCGTCGACGTGCTACGCCTGCCGAAAACATGAGGTTCTTCCTACTTCCTACAACATCTACAGAAGAGATCGTTGGTGCGGTTCCGGGTGTTGTGTTTCAGGGGGTGGTGTGCTGATAGGTGTTAGTGCGAGTCTTCGCAGTGTTCAGAGGTCAGACTGGTTTCTAACCAATGAAGCCATTTGTGTAACACTATTGCGATAAGCGTAATAGCAAACTGCATATTTATTGTATCTATATTCCTCCTAATGATAGTGTTGCATTAAATGTATTTTGTAATGAATTGAGACACCTAGTTAATTCTGCATTCTTGAAGTCAACAATTTAAATTATTTTTATCTCATATCGATGTCTCAATTAGTTCCTGAGGTACAATTTATTAAAGTTTGATCTCTTTGGATATTACATCTACGAGTGAGGTTAAAATCAAAAAATCATTGGCCTAACATTTGAATATTGGAAGATATGACCTTATAAGCACTAAATACCAATAGAATTTGCTGTCGAATGCTCCTTATATCATATTAATACCTCTACTAGTTTTTGAGTTATTATTTGTTAAATTTTGATGTCATTCAAAACAATATTCATGATTGTGGTTGAATTAAAATCATTATAACCTCAAAATTTGAAAAAATCACCTTTCCCGGATTAAATACTAATTAAATTTGCTATAAAATGTTTTTTATCTCATATCGATGTCTCAATTGGATCCTGAGATACAATTTGTTAAAGATGTATGTCTTTACCCCTGGGTATACATCCAGGAAATTTTCCCTTGAAAATAAATACCCGGGTATTTAACAGCACTGCTTGTGGATAACGTTTTTTTTGTTTCATTATAAACATTTATTAATACCGAATTTAAAAAATTTATATCTCAAAAAATACATGAGATATCAAATTGATTTAAAAAATGCGTTTATTTAGAATAATTTGAATATTTTTAACATTTCTACAAATAAATCAAATACAATTTTTATAAACTTATATTTATTAACATACAAAATAAAAAATATTATATTATAATTTTATATTATTCGAGTGATTTCATATCAGTTTTTGGTAAGAAAAACGTAATCATTGTAGAAACCAGCACAAAACCGCCGATTGTAAAAAACGGTTCCCAACATCCCAGTTGTAACAACATGGGAAACGTAATATTTCCAACCATAGATCCAGATCTTCCAGCCATCATAACCATTGAAACAGCGATTGTTCTTAAAGTTGTTGGAAATAAATCAATTACAATTGTTATTAAAATATTGCTACAAACGCCCAAAGAAGCGTTACTCAACGATGTCAAAGTGGTTGTTGTTGCAACGCTTTGTGCAAAATAAATTGAAACCCCACTTATTGTTCCTAAAATGCCTAAGAAAACTGGATAAGAAAAGTTAAATTAGTAATTTTAATGATTTTTTTAATATTTTTAATTAATTTACTGAGGATGGTTTTCTTTCCTAATTTATTTATAAATATTCCTGCTAAAGTATAAAATATCATATTAACAATGTTTATAATTACAACGTTGAAGTAAACGGAATCTCTGGAGTCAAACTAAAAATAACATTAAATCATCATTTAAATTTTTAATAAGATATATTTACCTCTAAACATTCAGATTGACTAACATCAACATTAGAAGTAATCGATCCCAACATTGTACATAAATTAGCATCTTTATCATCAGGATAAGCTGTTTGATAATCGTTTATTGTTGTGTACAATTGAGGTAACCATAATCGTAATGTATTTAAACTACAAAAATTTTAATTAAAATTAATTAATTAAAAATATTATTTTACCTCGTTAAAAATCCTGTTTGTATCAAACACGTTAAGGTTAAATTTTTTAAATGTGGAGATTGAATCAGAGGTTTCATTTGCAAAAATCCTTCTTTTAAAGCTTTCGCTGACGATCTATTTGCTGTAACTGTGTTTGTGTTACTTTCTTTGATTTCATCGATTAAGGATTGGATCTAAAATGATTTTTCGCATTAATTAATTACTCCGGTTCGATTTGTGCATCGTTAAAGAGCGGATGTATTTTGCGATCGTGCAAGAGTTTTATTTTACGCTTTATAAATATATCACATCTGGCGTAAAAAACAAAACAAAGGATTTTTAACACATACGCTAAATAACGGCACAGTAAAACTGAATCTTAATTCGGAAGATAAGTACAGAGAAGCATCAAAGATGCTTACTGAAAAGAATTTGTCCTGGTCAACTTATAAAAATCAGTAAACCAGAAATCTGAAAGTGGTCGTTAAAAAGATGCATAAAAGCTGTGATGTTAATGATATAAAACATGATCTATTGGAGTGCAAGTATAACATTTGTAAAGTAACCCAAATGTTAAAATACAAAACAAAAGAGCCTTTTTTTTTCTTTATACATCTTGGATTTTGCACCTAGCCCTGGATCTAGGGGAGGGGAGCAAGCCGGGGGCTATGCCCCGGGCGGCAAGTTCAGAAGGCGGCCAAATTCACACTTCACAGACGAATAGACAACTCATCATTTACTTAACTTTGACCACGGAATAAATAATAGTACAAGTATGTTCTATGTGGTACAGGACGTTGGCTAATTGCGAAAGGGTTAAAAGACCTTGGCTTATATTTTCTAAGACAAAAAATGCGCGTGCTGCAAGATTTACCAGAAACCGTCTTCTACCGCCCCATCTGCATCGTGTTCTACAGGTTTATTAATTGGAAAAAAGCTTCAGAGAGATTAACCGAACACGAGACAACTCAAATGCCCAAAGAGTGAAATTATGCCAGGGTATTGATCAAGACAATGACAGAGTAATTCACTCCGAGAAAGAAAAATGGAGAGAGATCCTGCCTATTGTTATGGATGCTGTATTGTATCTATCCACAAACTGCCTTTCTTTGCCACACAATGTCCTCAGCCTAGTCAAGGTAACTTCTTGAACTTAATTTCCCTGCTCGCCAAACATAATTCAATTCTTAAGTTTCAATTAGAACACTTAAAAAAGGAACAAGTATCATATTTATCAAAGACAATACACAATGAAATAATTAACATAATGGCAAAAACAGTTAGAAATAGCATTTTAAATTACATCAAAGAAGCCAAATACTACACGATAATGTTCGACTGCACTCCAGATGTATCCCATACAGAATAAATGAGCCAGGTAATTCGATATGTAAAAAGAACTGGCGATGTGTGTGAAATAAGAGAAAGTTTCATTGATTTCATAGAAATTGCTGGAAAGATAGGAGAGGACATTAGTCAACAGATTTTAGAAAAATTTACAGTTGATGATTTAGATATTGGACAATGTCGTGACCAATCTTATGATAATGGGTCCAA